TCGTTCGAAAGATATCGAGGGTCCCAGGTTTTGACTTCCACCCCCCCTAGCGCCCCCCAAAATTTTTTGGGGGTCTGAAAATTTGGGGAAAGAAGCGCTCCAGTATTAGTAACTGATAGACGAAGTTTGAATGAGTTTTAGTGGGGGGGGGGCGAAAAATGTCGTTTTTGCATACGGCTCTTTAATTCAGCTGTTCCAGCCAGGTTATTGTGATGTAGGAACATCATGTTTAATACTAATTCGAATATTTCTGATAGGTCACTAGTTACCAGAATGAGTAAGGTTGTTAACTCTGCACCAGTTGACTTCTTTAATTCTAGAATTTGTCATTTTAAAACTGCCTCAAGGAGGACATTCCTTACTGATCCTAATTAATTAGTTATTTGAAATTATGTCTCATTTTATCAAATTTTATAATCTTGTTACCTACTTTCTTATTGAACCATTGTTTTGATTTTTTATTTTTTCCTATCTCTTTTTTTTTAACCTTATTGCCATCCTGTTGTTTCATTGTATCGTTGTAATGTTTAGCAAATGGACCTGTGTTGACCTGTAGGAACTGTAAATAAATAAACAAATAAATAAATACTTTTAAAATATTTAAACATACTAAAGTTTCTAAATATGTTTTTAAAATATCTTGTTAATGTCTTAAAAATATTAAAAAATAATATTTTTCTGGAAATATTTCAAATATATTGTTGTCTAACTTGGTAAGTCCCATTACATTTTCAAAAACAAATTTCCTCGATAGCTTTAATGCCTGGATTTCTTAAATATGGTTATTTGCAGTACTACGAGGGGCATTTGTAAAGTAAGTATATATCTTTATTTTCTCCGAAACTAATGAAGATAAATCAAAACGGTAAAAAATTGTTTACCGTCATACTCTCAGCTTTTCAAAAAACCTTCGTTTTTTAAATTTTGTTTACTGGTTCGCGAGTGACGTCATTTTTCCCGCGCCCATCTCTCGTCACTGCTGTGACGGCGGGTCTGATCACCCGCGACCTCCTTGAGATCGTAACTGATCAGACACGTCCTCCCCTCTAACTATCCGAACTAGTCGTCGCCGTTGGCACCGACCAGGGAACGAATAGTTAGGAGGAGTGTCGAATGGGAATAGGGGAAATCAGTGGAAGACTTGGATTTGGATTCAAACCCCTTCTACTCAAATCAGCGAGCCCTGCGAATAATAATGAAAATTGTGGTGGTCTTTCTCGTCGGCTGGTCCTTTCAGGACTGACCAGCCGCCTCGTCACTTGAGCAGCGGCTAGTTACGCGTCTCCCTCCCCCCTCTCTTTGCAGTCGCGCCTGCGCGCTGCTGTCTTCTCTCCCCTCTCTTTTTCTGCACATAGCCAATGCGGTGGGATAAAAATTATTTATACATGCTGAGTCCTGTCGTAGCCGCCGAACATCGCGAAGAGGGAAACCCCCTGTTCTAGCCGCCGAACATCGCGAAGACGGAAACCCCGTAGAGAATTTTGAAAAAGAAGAATTAATTGTTTTATGAATTTATAGAGAACTTCGCCTAGCCAACGAATGTTCTAGCCGCTGAACATCGCGAAGACGGAAACCCCGTAGAGAATTTTGAAAAAGAAGAATTAATTGTTTTATGAATTTATAGAGAACTTCGCCTAGCCAACGAATGTTCTAGCCGCCGAACATCGCGAAGACGGAAACCCCGTAGAGAATTTTGAAAAAGATGAATTAATTGTTTTATGAATTTACAGAGAACTTCGCCTAGCCAACGAGAGTTCTAGCCGCCGAACATTGCGAAGACGAAAACCCCGTAGAGAATTTTGAAAAAGAAGAATTAATTGTATTAGGTATGTGTTTAAAGAGAACTTCGCCTAGCCAACGAGAGTTCTAGCCGCCGAAAATCGCGAAGACGGAAACCCCGTAGAGGAAATATAATTATAAGAAATAATTGTTTCAAATTCTGTGTATTCTAGTGAGTAATTTTAACTTAGGTTACTGATATGACGGAAGCTCCATGTACATACATTGTTCAAACCGAGAGTACACGGTCACTTTTGAGAGCGGTGTTAATTCAAGAAAATGCGAACACGCGTTTTGTCGTCGCTCATGCAAGTAGGACGCTGACCCTAGTAGAAGCTCAGTCATCAGTTTTCGAGCTCGATTGTAGAGCTGTCAGTTATGCCGAGGAAGTCTTCCTTCCTTTATTGAGAAACGCACCTTTCCACCTTGAATGTGACAACGCTGTATTAATAAGGTGTTTTTCAGATTAGAAGAGATACAACTTCGCTGTAGGAATTACGCACATATTTATGTAGTAAAATTAAACAATTAAAATTAGTGCATATATTTAGTTGTGTATTTACCATAACCAGAGAAATGAAGGACATTATAGTGTTCCAATTCAGCAAATCAGCAGATATTGAGGTAGAAAAGGACAAATTTTTACCGCTGATAAAAAGGGAATTTCCTGCGCTAGCATTGTCCGGGAAAAAGAACATCAACAAATTGTCTTGTTTAAAGAAACTCGGTATGGAGAAATACATTGCATTTTTAGAAGAATTAGGATACCGGGTTCCAAAATCACCGGATGATTTGTTAATGCAGATAAATTCAACAGAACAGTTGGAGAGTACGGTCTTTCTGGAAGACGAGGGCCCATATGACGGTCTGGAGAGTACAGACATCCCTCAAAATGTATGTTCAGGCAAACAAGCGGAGCTGAAAAAACATCTGAGTAAATTAACGAAAGAAGAGTTAGAGAAGGAGCTTGCGAAACACGGAGTGCCTTATGTTTATGCCCGTACTAAGGATGCGGCGGACGCTCTAGCTAAAATAAGGGATGGAACCTTAGTTCTGCCTCCCACGGCGATGCAGGAGGTAATGAAGACATTTGAAAAATTGGAGAGAATAGTGTCCAACCCAATGAAGCAATCACTAAGCTATGAAATGGACGAAAACAAGAAAAAAGGTCCGATGGCTCAAGGAGCCCCCCAGAGAAATAAAGAACAACCGTGGGTTAGTGGAGGTCAACCCCCTGCCACTTTCAACGTATCTAACGAACCTGGAGTATCCACCGCTCAATCATTGGGATGTAATCAGCCTAGATATATGTAAGCATCTAGAAATTCAAATGACTCTGCATTTAATCTATTCGACTTCGGGACGCGACAGTCCGGTCCTCACGTTTCATCAGAAAATAACCCTTTCTGTTTGCAAAACTCTGTAGCACCTAGACCTACAGAAGGACAAATTGCACTGAATTATAATGATTTATGTTCTCAAGTAAATCGGAACCACTTAGGAGCCCTGGACGAAAGACGCTTCTCAAATCCTTTCAGAAATACAGTAGAGACACAGCCTTTTCTCCAGCAAGAAGAGATCCCTTTTTATCGACATTCCTCTTATCCGGAGGCAATATCAGGCAGGCATAATAATGCTCCAAGGTTTACGTATCACAGAGATCCCTCTGGGCTATTCTATAATCAGCCCTCAATTTATGTAAAACCCCCGAAGTTGGGCACACCGGACTTCAAAAAAGATGAGCCATTAGAATTTTTAAGGCAAATCGAAATATATGCGGAAATAGCCGGCTGGGATGATTCACATAAGAAGGTATGTCTAGCGGCAGCATTGGAAAAAGCAAATGCATTATGGTACATAAATAATAGACAATATTTAATATCTTTATCGTTTGCTGATTTTAAGAAGAAGTTCATTAAAGAATTCAAAAAAACAACCAATTTGGGCAACGACCTCCTAGAATTTCAAAGTAGAACCCAAAAAGAAGACGAAACGTGCCGTGAATATCTGGAAAAGAAACTGTACTTGGCCACAACAGTGCGGGACAGAGTAACAGATAAAGAATTGATAGAAATAATAATCACTGGGCTCAAGCAAGAAATGGCTGAAAAAATATTTCTTCTTCAGAACGATACGATTGAACAACTGCGTGAAAATGTGCGAAAGGTTGAGCAAGCAAAGAAAATTGGGATATTAACTTCGAAATCAACGACACAAACGAACGCAGTGCAAGGAGGTTCGGAGCTTGTCACAGAGCTGAAGAATTTAACCGCATTGATAAGAAACATGCAAGTAGGAGAAAGTAAGTAGGTAATTTTAAATTTCGTGCACTGCACCAATCCGTTTGAAATTATTACTCATCGATTCTCGTTATTGCTCATTGTTTCTCGTTATTGCTCATTGATTCCTATTGAAATTCTTGCTAAATGATTGAAATTATTGCCAATCGATTCCAATTATTGCCCATTAATTCTCGTTATTGCTCATTGATTCTCGTTATTGCTCATTATTTCTCGTTATTGCTCATGGATTCTCATTAAAATTAGTGCTAAATGATTGGAATTATTGCCAATCGATTCCAATTATTGCCCACCGATTCTCGTTATTGCTCATTAGTTCCAATTATTGCTCATTGATTCCCGTTATTACTCATTGATTCTTGTTATTGCTCATTGATTCCCATTGATATTATTGCTAATCGATTGAAATTATTGCTAATCGATTCCAATTATTGCCCATCGATTCTCGTTATAGCTCATTTATCCTCGTTATTACTCATTGATTCTCATTATTGCTCATTGATTCCCGTTATTACTCATTAATTCTCGTTATTGCTCATTGATTTCCATGGAAATAATTTCTCATTATTGCCCATTGATATCCATTGTAATTATACGCATAGAGCATTTTAGCATGTCTTTTAGCATTGAATATTTACATGAAATTTAAATTTTGTTTCTGATACCGAAATTTTGAATTTGTTTACGTAAGAAGTTGTCTTCTGCTCCTTGGGTTGTTGAAAATTTTTTTCTAACTAATTTAAGACGGTAAACATAGTTTATTTAGCGGCAGGTATCTATGCATTTTATTCATTATTATATGATTTTATTTATGTATTTTAATTTCTAACTGAAAATTTCTATATTATGTAATTTAATTTCTAACTGAAAATTTCTTACTAATAATAAAATTACTTCTATACACATCAGCTTGGGAGAGAAACTCTTTTTGGGGACATTTTTTTTTAAAGAAAATCTTATTCAAGATTCCCTTTCATCCGAGTGGGAGGAATGTGACGCGACTCTCTTCCGAGCAGAAAAAGAGTGGGGAGAGAAGACAGCAGCGCGCAGGCGCGACTGCAAAGAGAGGGGGAAGGGAGACGCGTCGCTAGCCGCTACTCAAGTGACGAGGCGGCTGGTCAGTCTTGAAAGAACCAGCCGACGAGAAAGTCCACCACTATTTTCTTTATTATTCGCAGGGCTCGCTGATTTGAGTAGAAGGGGTGTGAATCCAAATCCAAGTCTTCCACTGATTTTCCCTATTCCCATTCGACACTCCTGCTAACTATTCGTTCCCCGGTCGGTGCCAACGGCGACGACTAGTTCGGATAGTTAGAGGGGAGGACGTGTCTGATCAGTTACGATCTCAACGAGGTCGCGGGTGATCAGACCCGCCGTCACACCGCGTGTCCAGAATATTCGAGCGCGGCGAAGCTCCTCAGATGAGTACATGCTCTCACCATAAAGAAGCTTGTAACACAGTTAAATATGTGAAAATTTCAGGCTTTGAATTATCTTACCTTACTTTTCGACATAATCTCTACCCAGTTGAACACATTTCTTATACCGTGTTAGTAGTTTGTGGATTCAATCTTCAAAAAATTGCGCATCCTGTAGTTGAAACTATTTTTTAACAGGTTCTTGCAACTATGCGTCGGTGGAGAACTTTTGGCCAACCAAGGTCTTCTTTAACACAGGAAAAATATGAAAATCGCTTGGAGCAAGGTCCGGCGAGTACAGTGGATGAGAAAAAAGGTCCCATATGAATGAGGCGACAAGTCTTGAGTCATATGAGCCACATGAGGCCCAGCATTGTCATGAAGGAACGAAACTCGACGAGACGAAAGACCGGGCTGTGCATGATCGCTGACTTAAGTTTTTTCAAAACTTCACAATATCTTGCGGCATCAATCGTTTTTCCTCTTTCCAAGAAATCGATCAGCAATATTCCTTGAGAGTCCCAAAACACCGTAGCCAAAACATGTACTTGTCTGAGGAGCTCCGCCGCGCTCGAATATTTTTGACACGTGGTGACGAGAGATGGGCGTGGGAAAAATGATGTCACTTGCAAACCGGTAAACCAAATTTAAAAAACGAAGGCTTTTTGAAAAGCTGAGAGTATGGCGGTAAAAACAATCTTTACCGATTTAATTTATCTTCATTAGTTTTGGAGAAAATAAAGATATATACATACTTTATGAATGCCCCTCGTAAAACACTAATGCCCTCGTTTTCAACCATATGGTAAATTTTGGAAGCCTAAAATTACCCCTCAGAGCCGAAATGTGCGCAAATTTTTCTATGGACCACTCCAAAAAATGGCCTGCTATTCGGGCAGCTGATTTGGCCATCAATCCCAGTATTAATTTAAGCTTGTAACTTAATGCTCAGAGAATACTTTCAAGATGAGCAGAGAAACGGTTTCCGAGTGACAGAGCAGTAGGAAGATATACGGGCCAAAATGCCATCTAATATTAGCTGTTTTCTCGTCGAATTGATTTTGTCAGGGGCTTCTACCGTAATATGGGGTGAATAGGGACAGTTTTTTATACAAATGCACGTCTGTGGCCTACTGATTTCGAGAATTCCGTATTTTTTTAACAGGAAGTTGTGACCTTTCCAGTCATTTACTTTCCCCCAAAATCGTGATGATACGAAAATTTTGTCATGGGAACGGAGTTCCCCATGATATTACAATCGTTCCTTTGCTTTCGCAATGGGATTCCCTATACCTCTGCGACCTTGAGCGTTTCGCCCAGTCTCCGATTTTCGGTTGATTTTCCGATGTATCAAAAACCGTTGTATTTTTTAGCCAATCATGACTCTACGTCAAGTTGTGTTGATTTCTAAAATTCGCTTTCAGCGAGTTTTTTTCCACCTTGAGATGTCGTGTCTGACCGGTAAATCTGCGCAGAACCACGAAGTTCCGTTTTTAGGCAAATTCTTTTTTTTTGGGAGGTTTTCATTGGCTATTTTTCGCCATCAGTTTTCTGTTCGTTGGTGCAAAAAATCGCCTACCTCGTTGCTCTTGAGAAGCCGCCATTATCCCACCTCAAATATTAAACATAGATGTAAAGAAATAATAACCATCGCACAAGGTGGAAAATTGCTCTGGAGGACCCGTTACGGATATATGAGCCAAAATCAGAACTCGATTGATGGATTTAATCCATGAATACAGAAATATTGCCTCAGCTTACTGCCACGATCGCAAATGCATACTGAGATGAACCTTGTGACACATGACCGCATAGGTAAACAATGTCTCACAGAGTAATGCGCTTGATCCATTTGTCTCTTATCACGCCAGTGGCCGAACCGTTGAAATCTCAAGGACGTCTTTTGTGAAGCCCCGCTCAGCGTCCGAGATCACTTAACTGTTCTCTTTTTCTCCTCTCACTTCCGAGCGGTGAGATAGCTCAGTTAACTACAACACCGTTTTGATTCTGGGAGAGTGTCACTTTTTGTGGGAGCGGGGGTTCGAATCTCGTAGAGGACAGCTAATTTTTACTGGTTGTATTGAATGTTTTAGACCAATAATCTAACAATAATTAATACTTGGCAACTTAGGAAGCACATAGGTCCCTTATGATGCGTATTTGGGCATATGTGTAGAGTAAAAATATCATACGTAGGGTGTCCCAAAAGTACCGGGACTGGTTCTGTAACTTCAAAAGTAAGATAGACGCAGACATGATTTTGGTATCATTTTAAAGATCAACTCAATACCTATCGATTAAAACCAAGATCAGCTCAATCGAATAAAAATTGACCGAGTTATGACAATTTGAAATTAGTGAGGAAAGTTTACCCCTACGGTTTTTAGGAAGATTTTTCGCTTACCAGGATTCAAAAAGTTAATATTCGTATCCACTCTCCTCCGAATCTTCCATAACTTCCTTTTGCTTTTCAAAGTACCGTCCATCAAACCGGATGCACTTTTTCATGCGCTCTTGCCACTTATCCAACATTGTTTTCCTGAATTCTTCCTCTGGGATGGAGTTGAAGAAGTTTTGAATTGCATTCTGGATTTTTGTCTTCGATACGAATCTTCGTCCGCGAA